ACAAAAAATCGAACCGTACCAAAACTTGTGCGGTTTTCCAAAAGTTTAACCGCACCGAAAACCGAACCTTAAAAAACTGAACCGAACCGCACCGAATACATCGGTTCGGTTTGATTCGGTTTCGGCTCGGTTTTACTCACCCCTATTTATGAACATACAAAAAATTTGAAAATGCATAGTAAGTGCCAAACAAAAAATGGACCAACCTTTCGTTCTTATTAAAGATGTTGAAAGTACAAAGAGAGTTATGTTGCAACTTCTGAAAATCCGAAAAGAATTAGAGGAAGAAGATGTTTATGCAATTTGCAACTACAAAGTGGAAAGAAATCTTAGTAAATATGGATCTGCAATTATCAAATACAAAATAATTTTGCATACAAAACAAAAACCATAGTCAACCCAACCTATTTCTCTATTTTCCGTTTTGATTTTTGAAATCTTGTAACATTTTGTGATGTGAAAAATGTCGATGAGTCTTCACTTTTCGATAAGAATAACTTTCGAATATATTCATTATCATATCTAACAATGCTTAAATAAATATTTTATTTCTTATGAATGTATATGTCATTGGGTTGGTAGTAGAAATTCAACAAGTGCAATTCAAGCAAGTTGCACGACAACATACCGAAATGATTGACTTTACTCTTTTCGATTTGGAGTAAGTATTTGCATAAAGGTATTTAATTGTTATATACATTTAATAAAAATTTATTAGTTTGAAATTATTATTTTATCTATTATAGGGACAATACTATTAGTTTTGAGAGTCGTTATAAAGGCAAATGATATCCATGAGTTCTCATAATGTAGCTTAGTAGAGCAAGATTGTGTGGTGGTAGTATTAAAAAAATTAAAGAATTATAAATTTTGATATTTTTTAATTTTGCTTTTTTATATATAATAATTTGGTGGAGCAAGGCTGTGGGTTGGTTGTATTAAAAATCAATAATGTTATGTACAAATAGGTTTTTAATAATGTATGACTTTTTTATGACGATTATATTAGATCAAGTGGCAAATGCTCTACGTATTATATGTTATTGATTAATAACCTTCAATTTATAAATTTTACCAAAACAAATACAGTCCGTGCATTGCACGGGTTACATACTAGTTTGACTAAATAATGTTGGAAAAAAGATTTTTAACATTATATTGTTAGTTGTTACTAAAATATATGGAAAGAAGATTGGATGCATTCCTTTTTTTTTGGGTGGTTATATTTGACTAATTAAGGATATTTAAAAAATATTGTTAATAAACTATGTATAAAACCATTTGTTATATTATTACACAGATTTTGTATCTCTTTTATTATTCAGAGAAATAATAAGATTTATAATTCACTATATTCATTTAATTGATTTATTGAAAATCAATATGCACGGAGTTATTGTATTTATTGATTGAAGAATGCAAAATTAATTTACAATATAACCTTGTTTATGTTTTAGAATATAATCTATTTGGTGATATTTTTTTATTAAGTACATAACTAAATTATGTGAATATAATAGCATTCCACTTCTTAAAAAAATAATTACTTTAAATTTCTCTTTTTTTTTTGGAAAGTTCATACCAAAGTTTGACAGAAATAAAAATTACCCCTATCAGCTATGCTTATTTTCTATAAATACATCATATATTTATCAATTTATTCTATAGCCATATATAATTTGATAAATATAATGCCTTTAGAATATGATTTGAAAACTAAGAAAAAAAATGAATCTGCATTTTTTTTATTATTTAAACTGATAAATCAACTCATATGACGTTGGAATTTATTAAAATTTTTTAAAATTTGCTGAGATTTTCTAAACAAAAATCTTATATAAAATTTCACATTCAAACTTAAGATTTTCAAGAATTCCTATTTAAATCTCAAAATCGTAAAAAATCTCAAGTCTCAAAAGCTGTTATAATGTCTCTTGAAATTCTAAATTAATACACCATTCTAAGTAAATTCAACAAGATTTTTAAAATTAATCAAAAAAAGATTTAGATTCTAAGTGAATACAATTTCCTTAAAAAGCCTTGGATTTTAACTCATTCAATAAGGTACTGATTTTGAAATAAAATAGCTCCTTGAATGAATATCTTCATGTGAATAACTCATTCAATAAGGTACTGATTTTGCAAAAAACAAAATAAAATAAAATAAAAAATAAGGTACTGATTTTGCAAAAAATAAAATAAAATAAAATAAAAAATAAAAAGAAACTTCTGTTTAAAATTATGTTTTTGCCAAGTTCTCTTCAACAATCATACAATAAAAAATATTCAAAAAAAAAAAAAATGTAATCTATACTTATATAAAGAGTCATCCTAATTACTAAAATTAGTAGCAAAAAAATAGGTCAGCATTTAATGCATCTCATAAATAGTAATTTTATTATTTTTCTTATTTTTTTTCCATAAAAATCATACAA